GAGAGTCTTACCGGCAATATGTACGCAACCAAAAAAAAAAAAAGACAGAAAGAGATTCTTGAAGGTAATGTCTTACTGTTGTTAGATCATAAGAAAGTTGAAAATTTTTGAAATTTTGGGTTATTCGGATTATTTATATACATATATAATTATATGAATTTTTCTAACAGGTATAAGCACTCGTAAACATATTTAAATCATATCTAACACACCATGTGAATATACATTATTACAATTTTTGTACTCCCTACGTTTAAATATTTGGACAAGTAACTACACCTTTCTAGAAAGCTAACGCATGAAACAAACTCCTCTTAATGAATGTCTATTGGGCACTAATTAGCCGAGCCATACTTAAACATGTAAAATGTATAGCTAGCTAACTAGATATATGCTTCAAAAAAAAAAAAGTTATTGCACTACGTAGCTCAATTGATTTTCATCACCGCATAAATGTCGTAGAAGATATTTAACGTGACAAATTCTCTTATGCGCATACCTCGAGCTTTCCAGCTGTTTCCTCGCTTTGTGCCACAAGCAACAAACAAGAGGTTATTTATGGTTTTTTTCACTTCAATTCCATACTTTAATTTGCTATTTTTCTTTTCATTTTTTTCCTTTTCTTAAACAGATTTCTATCCTTAATATAGCAATTGCAACTACAATTGTGTTTCATGGACTGGCAGTAGTTTACTTGAGGTAGTCTAGACTATTTTGACAAGTGAATAAAGAATACCTCCAAAAATATTTTTCAATTAATGTTCATGCTGCATAAATTTCAATAAATTCATGTAAAAAAATTATGATAAAAAAAGTGATGCTAGTTCAAGCATAAACGAAAGAAAGAATTGTCCAGGAATGCACACATTTCCATTCACATGAACACATTTAAGATGCCAAAAAAAATATATTATCTCTTGTTTGAGAGACTTTATAAGGCCAATCATCAATGTTATAGCAAGCATTATATTTTGCTTCTACCCATAATATGATACTGATCATGGTTAATTTGGAAGCATTCAAGAAACAGAACGTGAATGATAGGAAATCATCTAAGTAATTTTAAGAAAAGGGTGAGTTATTTGTGCAATTAGCCATTAAGTTTTAGGTACATCATGCAAACATCTTCTGCTTTTACATATGCAGGAAGAATCCTACTAAAAAAAATTTATGGGTTGATTTGACGACTAATAAAGGCCAAAGCACACGACATCATCTAAGAAAAGCCAATAATAGCAGTGATGATGTATGCCCATCAAAAATAACAAGGTATGATGCGCTAATGTACATTTTGAAATTTAAAGTTGTGGTTTATATCTTCTTATGGGACAATTGTATCATGCGAGTGAATTGCAATTAGGTACTACATATCCAAAATGTCGAAAAGTTTTAATAATAGGGAAAAAAATTTTCATGAGTTTTTGCCCCCACAATACTTATAACTTTCCTCCTTTTTTTTTAATCAGCTCTTTTTGATAATTACCTAAAAACACTCTTATAGGTTAAAGATATCAGAAGTTACAAAAATGCTGTGGCTTTAATGTTTCAGAGAAAATTCCAAGAGGCACAAGAAAAAACAAATTGGGTTCACTTGGATGACATGCTTTTTAGGCGTTTGTATAAAACTTCACTTGAAGTTACTAAAGAAATTCGTATGAAAGTGTTTAGGGAATATGTGAAAAACTTTTATATTTTTATTTTTCTTTCCATTTTTTCCTTTCTTTCATCTCCTCTTCTTCCCCCTTCCTTCGTCCCTCTCCGTTGTCGCCAACGCTTTCCTTCCCCCACTGTTGCTGCATTGGTGACAACTCCAACACCTTACCCCCCCACTTTTTTTCCTTTTCCTCTCTCATCCCCTCCCTGCTCCTCCTCCTCCCCTCCCTCCCTTCCCCTCCTTACCTCCTTCCCCCACCACTCCGTCTCCCCTCTCTCCCTTCACCCTAGCCCCTTCCCTTGCAGCTAAAAAAAAATTACCCCATATATCATTTAATAAAAAAAAAATACAATACCAACTGGGGTTGGGCCAAGTGGTAAGCAGCTTGGTTCCGCTTAAGCAGGTCTCGGGTTCGAAACCTGGCGTATGCAGCTACCCTTGTTGGGAGACTCACCCATCACAGCCAGGTGTGCGACCCGGGTCGACCAACGGATTAGTCAGGGCAAAGCCCTGGATACCGTGGCAGGCAACAAAAAAAAAAAAAAATACAATAAGAAAAGAACCTAAACGGATCACTACTCCACGTACGCCCCCAAAAAAATCAACCTTTTCATGACTAGATGAATAAAAAATTATCCCTAAATCATTTAACCCAAAAAAAAAAATAAAAAGAACAGATAAGCAAGAGCTAATTGCTACTAATCTAGCAAAATTAAACAAGCAAACAAAAAGGGTTATTAAATTAAAAAGCTCAATAGTCCAAACTAAAAGAAATGTCATGCCTAATTACAAAAAAAAAAAAAAAAAAAAATGTCATGCCTAATTAAAAAAAAAAAAAAAAAAAACAGAGAGAGAGAGACATAGGAATGTTACAAATATTGTGGCGCCACTAAAATTTCTAAATCTTTCATTATCATTTCTTCTTATATCTTATTTTGACACTTTCGTGAGTATTTAACATACTTACAAGTAGAGGTGTCAAAATTGGTGATTTGGATGGGTTTGAATTGATTAAAATGGATAATAGGTATAACTGAATCAATCAATTTATACCTATTTAATTAGATGGGTATAAATGGATAAGTCAAAAAATGAATTGGGTAACCCAATTACCCATTAATAACCGATTTATTTTAACTTTTTGTAAACTCATTTAATTTTTTTTTTCCAAACTAACTTATTAATATATACCACCCTTTGCCCCCATCATTAGTTTTTAATATTTACTTATAATACTTAATAAGCCTAATTATCAATTTTTTCCATCCATCCTCTATGCCACAAAATTACATACTATTTAATAATTGAATACCAAGAATATAAAAATTTGAAATAAATACTATAAAAGTTAACATAAAAACTTAATTCAAAAATTTTGAACCTCTAGCATTTTTTTCCTTTAGAAATCTAAAATTTCATTTTGGAAAGGTAGGAAAAGAGACTAAAACTTGTCATAAATTATTAATGCTAAAAAATGAGCAAGTTAACAAACTAAGAAAAAAGAAAATAATAAGATAAAACTAACAAATAATAATAATGAAACAAAAGTAGTTAACATCATGCCAAAATGAAGAATCTGAAAAAAAAAAAATGGGTGGGGGAAGAGAGGAAGTTTGGGGTAGACAATTCTAATTGGGTTAGTTGGGTTTGATAGATTACTCAATAATACCCATTTAATATATTTATACACATATGCAAAAACTTAACATGTCCATATTCATCTATTCATGGGTAAGTATGAATAAATTTAGTTAAATGGGTTTGCTTGCCACTTATATTTACAAGTAATTACCGATGGAACTATTTATATGTCTATAACATTCCTTGCATATGATGCTATTATGATCCATGATAGAAGAAAAAGAAAAAATAAACTTTAAAATGAGAAGGTCCTGCCCAAGCCCCAAATAGCACTAATTATTGTTGAGGCCCGCAAAACGACTCGTGTGTCTGCAGTAATGGATGCGACAAAGGTTTGTCGAAAAGCACGGCTCCTCATTTATTTGATTCGGAATTGTGTTTCTTATTCCCTTGAAGAGTTAGTTTTGGACTTGCGATATCGTGATTGTGTTCCCAAAAATCAAAAAACAATTGAACGTGTAAATATTTTATTCTCCAAATATCGTTTCTTTTAGTGTTAAATACATGCAATGATTTACCTTCAAGATTATTAAGGAGAAAATTTTCGAAAGGTATTAGCTTCATTAGTAGTTCTTCCAGGTTACCAATTATTCATAGTGAAATGACAGGAATTACTTTGAATTACAATTAGATATTGTTAATTTTTGTATTAGAAATTTGCTGGAAGAATGTATTCACTTATACTTCTTCAACTATAAACAGGATGTCCATTAGAAAAATCCTAAAATAAAATCAAACGGGATATTTCTAATTCAAAAATTCGCCTAACTTAACCTATCATATATCTATAAATACTGTAAAATTCATCTAACCTGCCACATATATACACATATTGTAAAATTCACATAACCTACGATGTATATACACAAACTACAATTATTATCTTTTATTGCATTTATATACTTTTTCTATTTAATTTTACCTACTTTTTCTTGTATTTATTTATTTATTCTAATTAATCTTACGTTTCCAAAAGTATGACACCTAAAATCTGAACCCAATGAGCACCCACTAGACAGATTTTTTTTTAAAAAAAAAAAATTAAAAACATTTCTTACTCACAAAACTAATCTGCTGGTAAGTTTTTCTATTGGTTCCAGAACTACCTTCCCAAATTTACTGATTAAGAAATCTATGTGTATATAGATATATAGATATTTCTCGTTTTGCTCATTTTTGGTGTTGCCCATATTCGGATTTGATTGAATTCTGCAGTGCTGCAGGTTGATTTTCTTTCGTCTATTTCTTTTTTCCCCTTTCAAGATTTCTAATCCGGCAATTTGGCCATTTGGAAAGAATATGACCACTAACTTAAAAAATGATTGTGGAAGTTAGTGGTTAAAAATTGTTGTGGTGAAACTTAAAAGGTTGTGGCAAATTACAAAGCCACCAGCCCTAAGCTGAATGCATCTCAAATTTTTTAATCATTGGTCCCCTGCAGCTTACGCCTGTTGTATTGGTGCGATCTTCCCTCGATAAATTTTCAAAAGGAAGAAGGTAAAGACTTGCAGTTTACCCCCACCCAAACACACACACACGCAAGATAAAAAAAGAAATTAAAAAACAGAGAGAGAGTCTTGAAAGCATACTGTAACTATTCTTTTTTTTTTTTTTTTTGATTTGAACTATAACTATTCTTAGATCATAACAAAGTCAGAGATCTTGAATATCAATAGTTACGACAGACAGAAATCTGATATCAGAGTGAAAAACATGGCAGGTACCGTGGTGAACGACTCCCCCAACAGTAGCACTGGTTGCTTCGATTCTGCTCGTAATTATCTGGACCGCTTTGAATACAGGATCGATTATGGCAGCTATCATATCGCAGTGCTGAAGATGGGGATAAGTCTATTGGAAACCTTTGATCTGTATATTAGAAAGTGTAGGAGGAGGAGGAGCAAACGGGGTACGTGTTTGGAAAAAGACGAGGACAAGGATGATGCTAAGTCTGACAGACTTAGTAGTATTTCTTTCCGGATTCAAGATCTGGTTTGGGGGATACGGCGCAGACTTGACTGTGGTGCGTCAGATCATAGAGGCATCAAATGTGAGCTCAACAAAATCGGTGAAAATATCAACTTGTTTTTTGAAACAGATATCAAGGAATTGGACATCATCCGTTTGTTGCTTTACTACTCACTGGAAGACTTGCAACTAGTTATGGATTTCACCGATTCCATATCAGTTAATCTAAAGCGTCTTTCCTCATACTGCAAATTTCATGCATATGAAGCTCTAAGGACTGTACTGGAAACCCTTCAAGAGAAGCTAATGTTCTTGAAGAGTTTCGCTCGCTTTGCAACACTACAAGGTGTTGAGGGTCAGCCATTGATAGATCTGTTGGGTCACGTTGAGGTTGTGGTGGTCAATGCTGTTAGCTTGGCTTTTACATTTTGGTTTCAAAGGCGCAATGAGAAAGTGCGCGATGAAATGAAATTTGAAATTTCTCAACTAATACACAAGATGATTGATCCCGTTGATCCCCAAGTCCGAGAGATTTATACCCATGTCCTGGAAGCTTCCAAGTTATCAAAATCATCCTACACTTTAGCTGTGAAGGAGAATAGGCATCTATTGGTTGAGTTTATTGATTATCTCCTGCAAAGTATCATGGGGATCATAACAGAATGTTATACCAGTTTCGTGGATGCGGTGAACGATCAAATGCTAAAGCTCCTTGAGGGAGTAAGATTCCTGAGTGTCCTTCTTAGCCTGGAGCAGGAGAAGTTCGATGAGCTAAATGATGCAATGAATGATCTTATTGGAGTTGCAGTCTCTGATGCAGGTATTGTGACTTTCTCCCTTTCTACAAATGAAATGAAAGAAGGCTTGTGCAAGGACACAGATCTGGCTCTTTCTAACTTGCTCCAAGAGCTCCAGTTCATCATTGCAGAAGCTGCACATGTTTATCCACTAACATCATCATCATCACTCAGTTTCCCAAGGACTAAAGAACTGGGTTCTCTTGATTTTCTTCTAGGAACTCTCGAGGAACTAGTGAGTTCGACAGCTGATTCAATTGCTTTTCCAAACGATCAAATCCGCACAATCCTAGAAGATCTTGTATTCTTAAGATTTGTCCTAGGGAATATTGTGGAGCAATGCAATAGGGATGAAAAACTCCAAGCTCTTTGGAGTCGTATCATGAAGGTTGCATACAGTGCAGAATTAAAATTTGACTCTGCACTGCTTGGTGATAAATGTGAACCATGTTTGGATGCTGTTGCCAGAGATGTACATCTCATGAAGATTGAGGCTGAAGAGGTCTATGGTTGCATTAGATATGATGGTGAAACTCAAAGAGTTACCAAGACGACTATTAACATGCCATCACAAGTTACAGCTCCAATATCCACTGAAGCTCTGGTGGGTCTCAATGATGAGGTAGAAAGTATAATTGATAGACTTGTGAGAGGATCAAGGCAGCTAGATATCATTGCCATTGTGGGTATGCCTGGACTTGGTAAGACAACATTAGCCAATACAATTTATAGTGATCCTACAGTAGAGTGCCACTTCCACATTCGTGCATGGTGTTGCTTTTCTCAAGCGTATACCAAGCATAGTTTGTTAGTTCAGATTTTGTGTAGTATTGATTGTGAGAGCCATATCCAGTATCTTGACAATAATGAAGATGATATGGCTGACAAGCTACGCAAATTGTTGAAGAGAAATAGGTATCTCATCGTTTTGGATGATGTTTGGGACATTGTGGGGTGGGATTCGTTGAAACACTCACTGCCAGATGATTGCAATGGAAGTAGGATTCTCTTAACCAGCAGATTTCAAAAATTGTCTTTGCTAATTAAACCTGATAGCGAGCCACACCATCTTCGCCCACTTACAGATAATGAGAGTTGTGAATTGCTGCAAAAAAAGTTATTTGCCAAAAAAGATTGTCCTCCAACATTGAGTAAAGTTGTACTGAACATAGCAAAATACTGTAAGGGCCTACCTCTCGCAGTTGTCCTTGTTGCTGGAATTCTTGCTATTACTAAGCAAGATTGCTGGAAAGAAGTTGTAAGACATCTAATTTCCAGCATTTATGTTGACAATGAACATTGCATGAAGACAATTGAGCAGAGTTATAATTATTTACCAGATTATCTAAAGCCATGCCTTCTTTACTTTGGTGCATTTCAAGAAGACCGAGACATTCCTGTTCGCAAGTTGTTATGTCTTTGGATCTCTGAAGGATTTGTCCAAAAGACTGAAGGAAAGAGCTTAGAGGATGTGGCAGACGACTATTTGATGGATCTAATTGGGAGAAGTTTAGTTATGGCTGCCCAACAAAGATCTTTAGGTGGGATCAAAACTTGCAGAATTCATGATTTGGTACATGAGTTTTGTGTTAAGAAAGCAAAAGAAGAACGTTTTCTACAGATTTTACACGGGGATAACCTTCTTACTTTCACTGGCCCGTGTGACCCCCACCGACTGGTTGTCTACCCTAGCACAAGGCGGGGACCTAAAAACTCAAGGCTATTTTTTCCCAATTTGTGCAGTTTGCTCTTCTCTGATTGTACTTATACAGAGCTAGATATAATTTCACGCAAAGTTCTGTCATCTAAACTTCTTAGAGTGTTGGACTGCAGGAATGATCCTTGGTCGAGGGCAGATTTTCCAAGCGAAGTAGTATTCCTTGTTCACTTGAGGTACTTGAACATTACGTCTGATAGAGGGGAAATCCCATCTGCAATAGCCAACCTCTCAAGGTTAGAAACTTTTGTGGTAGGAGGACCCCTTACAAGTTATTTCTTACCTAACACTATCTGGAACATTAAAACTTTGAGGCATCTTGTCGTATCAGCATCACTAGGTGGTTTCATATTTCCCATCAACAGTCTTGAAGGTTCCCCGGATTTAGAACATTTAGACACTTTAACCCTTTCAATCTGGAACCCTTCTCGAGACTTGCAAAAGATACTGACAAAGTTACCAAGCATCCGCAGGCTAAGATGTGTGGGAGACAGTAATGGAGCATCTGCTGGAATTCTCGTGCTGGACTACTTGAGTCGACTAGAATCACTTAAGATGAGGTTTCTTATTGGATATGAGTTTGAGTTCCCATTGAATTTGAGAAAGTTGACTCTCATAGATAATAATCAGCCATGGAGTATAATTTCAGCAATTGGAAAGTTGCACAACCTTGTAGTACTTAAATTATGCCGTGTTTCCTTTCTGGGGAAAAAATGGGAAATGGAAGAAGGGGAATTCAGTAACCTTCGATTCTTGAAATTGTCAGGGTTGAATATTCGCTGCTGGACAGCCTCTTCTGATAATTTTTCCTGTCTTGAGAAATTGGTTTTGCATCAGTGTTATGATCTGGAAGAGGTCCCTTCTTGTTTAGGGGAAACCCTCACTCTTGGCATGATTGAGGTGAAATTGTGTCATGAGTCAACTGTAAATTCTGTGAAGCAAATTCAGCAAGAACAGATAGACTTGGGAAATAAGGGCTTAAAGATCATAATTAAACAAGAAATTGGTTAGATCTACTCAGAAAGGGAGTCGAAGCAGAGAAGAATTCCAGTCATGAGGTTAGATCTACTCCCTCGGTCCTAATTGTCTATGTTGGACCAGTTCAATGATATAACCATCCATATTTCACAAAGCAATTTCTGGAGGTTTCAATTCTTTGATTTGAATAGTCATGCATCTATGGAATCAAAACTATACATCCATCAGATATTATTCTGATGTGTTCTCTGTGTTGTTTTTTTTTCCCTCATGTTTGATAATGTATAAAATCAATCATCCCAATTTCTAAAATCTTCTTCAATATGGCTACAGATCGGTATGATCCTTGAAACCAGCTGCACACAAGCATAAATGCCAGGTACACATTTTTATTTGTTCTGTACATTTGAGCTCAAATAATGCTGACCAAGTCTCTTTTCTTGAAGCAAATAGCTGAATGACCTGAGACTTTCTTTATCCTTTGTTTTTAATTTTGAAATGCAAAGAATGCGCTCTTGCGGCCTTGTTGTGTAGAATATGTGCATATGGGTTAATGACAGCTTGGCAAGCATAGGAATGTTTTTTCCAGTTTTTTTCTTTTTCTATTTTCTACCGTCTAGATATACGAGTTTGTTCCTGCTTATGCCTACTTTTACCAAAGCTTCTGTTTTGCTATGTTCTTGTGGTACCTTCTAGAGTATGTAAACTAATTGTGCTTTAGACCTGGCCATCAGCCATCTTCTTCTGATACCTTGATACGTATAAAGAAGCCAAAATCAGAGGGAAAAAAATTTGAGATGTTGAAGTTAGAATATATTCTTTATATCATCAAAATAAACCCCGGTAGATGGTTCTAATAAGTACTATTTTCTGTGTATTTAATCTTTAATAATAATTTGCTTGAAGAGATTTTTCATGGATTGTTGTTTTCGACTGATTAAGTGAAAAGATGCTGAAAGTTCTGGGGACAGAGGAAATGAGGAAAGGAACTTGAACTTGATGAAAGGATTTATTACCAGATGGAAAGGATGTATTACCGGAAAATTTTTAGTATTTAGAGTGTTAATATGTTCTTCATCCGACTTAGCATGCATTCTGACTTCTCAGTTACAATTAGTTGGTAAAGTTGCATCTTGAACAAATTAGTCTGATTTAGAATCAATATCTTTGGCTTGTGCAGTTTCAATGAGCGTGTGTCTAGGAGAGAGAGAGAGAGAGAGAGACAGAGAGAATATCCTAACTTCTGGCTCGTAGATCAACTACAAGCTAGTGGAAAGGGGAAACGAGCAAAAAGCAGGAGTACCAATTGGATGAATATCCTGAAGAAATGTCCGATTAATATATATTTGTTGCAATGGGATAGGTGAATTCAGGAAATAGAGAACAGGCTCTAGCTCTCTGCAAATGGCTATGGAAATTGATGGTGTAGACAATGGAATTTTAATTAATTCTTAAAATTACCATTGGTCTATAAATTATTTTTGTGGCTTATTTCTATCCAATCGGGTATTGCCACATGTCATGTACACTTGGAAAATTTGGTTATTAAATGGCCAATTATATTTTTCCACGTGTCAAGGTGAGGTGTTCCAAATTTATTCAAATTGTAGGGATATCTCCACCAACCAAATCATATCATATCATATGTCTACTGGATAGACATTTAAATATTTATTTCTTATTAAAGAGATAATATTTAGAGTCGTTTGATCCATATATATCTCTTATATACTGCAATGGTCTGTCCAATCAGACGGCGCCACGTCACTTGTCCCCACAGGCTTGGCCAATCGGGAAATTATCTATCTCTTTATTGATAAATATAAAATAAAGAGATAATATTTAACTGGCACAGTCCTAATATGACTGCACGTCTTGCAAGTAAAGTGGTACACAGGTCTTCAACCTCTACCCCTTGCTACAGCTATAAATAGAGGTCTCTCAATCAAATCAAAGACACACAGACATACAGAGATACACACCAGAAGGCATCTCATACACTCAAGTGGTGAAGTTCCAAGCTACGAAGATTTGGGTTTTCAAACTCTTCAGGTCTTCCATATAGCAAGGCTTGAGCTTCCAAATATTTTCAAGTTCTTCAAATCTTCCATATCAAGATTTGAAAGAATCGGTGGTTGATCCAAGAACAAGCTGCGAAGCCCTTGGATTGGTGTTCGAGGAGAAGAATCGAAAGAAACTCTCCATAAGTTCGAGAAACTTCCAGAGATTGTACCCCCATATTTTTCTAAATTTATATATCACATATTTGTCGTGTATTTCTTTTTCTTGTCATTTTGCAGGCTTGAAATTTTTATCGCGTACAGATGGCTGAAAGTGAAACTAGCTTTTAACGATGCCATAATGGCACTATCACGATTCTGCATTGGTGCATTGATAACTTTGTACAAGTCGTTTTCTAACACTTCAAAAGGTGAACTACATCCTGGATTATAAGTTGCTGGCAACTGGTAGTGCGTTGTCCATGTAACTTCTGCTCTTCTAGGAATGGCTTTGAAAGATATTTCTGCAGCATCTACTTTCTCAATCTCTCGGTTTTTGACGGTTGGAAAACCCCTGCCCCTGGCCGCCCCTGGGGGGGGGGGAAGAGGTGGTGTGGCAGTAGTAAAGAAAGTTATCTGGAGATATCCAGATACTCATTGTCTGTATAAGAAGCTAGCCTGATGATCAATGCTGTCACATCTTGTCTTGCACCATTTGATATTGATCCAAAATAGTCAAAGGGCCAATGATATAGTTTGCTTCTAAACTGGCACAGCCAAAGTTGTTTTTTCATGTATAATTCTTATTCTATATGGCTCAAAATTGTGAAGGAGATGATGAAAGCCATCTGTTCAGGTAGTTCTTCATGTCTACATTAGCCTTTTATGTGGAATTTACTTCACCTACTTGGTGTTTTGTAGTCAATATATGTGCTCTCTGTTCTTTTACATCAATTTCACCTTTAGAATTGAATGGCAATTTGGAAGCACCAAAAGTAGTAGTCCGACTTTTGCTGATGAAACTCACGAACAGATTAGTGTTAGCTTTGTGATTTACCAGATACTTTCACAGTTCTCCCCAATTTAAGGTTATTGTGGATTTTGTTCTTCTGTTCTGTCGCCTCACATCTCTGTTGTTCCATTTCTTGGCAAAGCTGAAAGACACATAAAATTTAGATTTCTTTTGCAGGTCCTCCAAGAAAAAGCATCTGACGTTTAAACAGTATTGGAACTATATTAGAAGCTTTTTGCCTGTAATTGTCAGGTATATGTGCTCTAATTCTCTATTATTTTTCTTCTACTAGTTTGTTTTATTAATTGGGTAAAAAACAAATAAGCCCCCTGTGGTAAGCCTAATACACAGAAAAGTCCCCCATGATTTCAAAATATACAACATCACACCTCATGCTTTGAACTAAATTGTAAAGGTGATGGAATCCGTTAAACTTAACAGAAATGAACAAAATGACCAAAATGTCCTGACATAATTTAGCAAAAGACAGCTCAAAAAAATCACTTGCTTTATTCTCTAAATAGAGAGAATTGAGGATTAAGGGGTAGAATAGATATATTTGTTAAAAATTAGGCATAAAAATTTTTTACCCTTACTAATTCAATTACCTGATGGAGCAGAGTTCTATATCTACAGAAGGGCAATCAAATAAAACCACAAAGTACTGCAGCATGGATGAATGACTTGATAGTATTCTTGCACTACAGGCCTGCAGCGACTGCCTCAACTAGGGAAGTATTCATGATGCTGTCAAGGTTCTTGAATTGAATCTTTCCAGTGGATGGGTCATCCAGTATTATATCAAAAACTGGAGGCTTTGCATGAGCTACTTAACCTTCATGCTCTTCCCGTTTTTGGTCTTGTTCTTGACAGATAACCCCTTGATTCTAGGATCGTATCCCACTAGCTTGCTCACCACCTGAAGCAGTTGTTACTAGTAGCCATTGTTACTCCCTGATAAGCCTACTTCAATTGCATCAGGAAGGGAAGAAGTCCTGTAAAAATAGCAGTAAAAATTTCATTTGCTCTTAATCAAGTGGAAATGACTGTTGTAAATTTGTAATCAAGTGAAAAAATTTCTAATTGTAAATTTTTTTCTTCTCGAAAGGAAAGACCATGCACTAAATTGAATTGGATAGTGTGTATCTCTCAGTTTTTAACTTGGAATACATGATAGAGATTTGAGTAGGATAAGAAGGATAAAATTCTAGTTCTTGTTTCTGTTAATTAGGTTCCAAATGATGCACAAATGGTATTTTTGTCTGTTTTTGTTTGTTACATGAATATTAATTTCGTACAATATTGATAAAAACAACAGTCACAAGATAATGCTCATTATCTACAAATTTTACAAAATACTTTAGAATGATAAATATTTCCCACTTTTTTTCCCTCACTTTCTTCTTTTCTTCTTTTCCTCTTTCTCTCCAGTCTCCATTCAATAAAGAATCTCCAAAATCTCTTCAAGAGTCTTGAGCGGATCCCACGTTAGCTCCAGGGCGTTGGTTTCTAACTATCAAAGTCAATGCTTGAGCTTGAGTGAGAAAGGTCTCCTCCCCCTGTCTTTTTCCTGTATGGTGTTTACTGGGTGGGACCCTCGATGCGGGGGTATGGCTAGGGGTGGCAATTCGGGTCTAAATCAGGTTGGCGGGTCGGGTTCGGGTCAATCCGTCAGAAAATCTGTTGACCCGAACCCGACCCGCAACCCGTGACGGGTCAGGTATGCTGACCCGAACCCGAAAATTTCAGGTTGACGGGTTGACGGGTCGACCCGAAATGACCAGAAACTTAATTTTAATTTATTAATTTATCACTGTAATTTCTAATAAAATCAATTTCTCACAAAACTAATTACATAATCAAGTAATAAAAATTTAAATAAATAATTCCAAACCAAATCTAAAATAAATTAAACACCGTAAAAGTGTTTTATCCCAAACAAAATATAAAATAAATTAAAACAATATAAAAGTAAAAAATAATATAATATATTATTTGTCCAAATATAATAATTTCAACTTCACACAAATTAAATAAATTCATTTAGGATTAAGTAATTAATGCCTTTGAAAAAAAGAATAACTTAGTTTAGTTAGATAAAATTATTTTTATGTTTATTAAATTATTTTTAATTCGTAAACGGATCATATCGGGTCATATCAGGTCACCACGGGTTGACCCGAAATCGACATGTTTTCTTTTCGGGTTCATCAGGTCCAACCCGATTCTGACCCGAATTCCCGAAACCTCAACCCAAACCCATTAATTTCGTGTTAGGTTCGTGTCGTGTTTTCAGATCGTGTCGAAAATTGCCACCCCTAGGTATGGCACTATCAGCTACTATCTATATATGTCTGTCTCCGTCGGCTCCGTTGGTCGAAGCCAGAGGCTCCCTTCTACTAATTAGTTTAGGAAAAGACTCGGCCTTCCCCGACGGACTTTTAGGTTATATAAGAGAGAGCGGACAAAGGGCTTTATACTGCAGATACAATAGCGAGACTTAGGCGTGTCAACGGGTCGGGTCCGGGTCGGAATTCATTATTTCGGATCTGACCCATTTATCCGACGGGTCTCGGGTTCGGGTCGGGTCTACCCTGAAAAAATTATCAAAACTTACAATTTCTAATAAAAATGAGAAAAAAATATATTTGTAAACTAATTTCTAACTAATACAAAAAAAAATCAAATAAGAAAAGAAATCAAATTGATTTTATTCAAATACATTACCCTAATCTAATTATATTGATAAATATATATTTTAAATTATTAATCCATTTATATCCGGATCCGGGTCTAATACGGGCCGAAATACTATATTCTGTATCCGACCCTTTATTTATTTGACAAAACGGATCCGGATCCGGGTCCAGGTTAGGGAATTAAATCCCTACCCGTACCCGCAAAAATTTCACGGATCCGGTCCGGGTCTAGACCCGGACCGTTGACAGGCCTAGCGAGACTCCTCACCAGTGTGACGACCCCACCTCCCCCTAAGGAATACCAAAGGGTTCGGCGGACCGCCTGCCCAGCTCTCGCCAGGACTCACTCACTAACTCAATCGATTCATGTACACACATCCATGAACCATAATTAACATTCACAATTCAAGCTTATAATTTACATTGATAGAAAACGGGGTACAAAGTCTTAATACACCAAACTAGCTCAAAACGTATACAATCCAAGTACATCATGTTCCATTCAAGGAATAGCGCGAGTACAAGACCAAAAAGTCAAAAGTCAAAACAAAAGGCTACGTTAGCTTTTACAAGTCTCGCGCGTCACTCGTATCCCTGTAAGGAAAACAAATAGCGTGGTATGAGCTAAAAGCCCAGTGAGATTCCAAATAGCAAATTGACCATTATTTTTTTTTTTTGTACAAGTTTCGATATAGCAAAGTAACGAGCATGAAGAGTTCATAAATGTGAACAATAACACGTCAAGTAGCAATCTCAAAATGAGCGAGTGTAGAAGTTTTTCACAAGCAACAATAATCCAATAAGCAATAATCACTCCAAAGTATAAGGATACGGATGACTCTCAGGAGCCAAATTCCCATTTCATTACCAGAAGCTTGATCACGTAGTAGTTGACACTCCGTCAACTTTCAAGTAAGTAACCAATCCAGTAGAACACCACTGACACGACTCTCCGTCCACCATTCACACCCCCTACTGGGCCCAAAATCCTCAATAAACATGGGTGGTAATACTCGAGTATACCGTTAGTCGAGGAGATAACACTCCACTCGACATTACAAGTGACCCAGGGTTTGTTATCTAATCGACCAGGCCCTTGCCGGCTCGACTCGAGTAACTCGCCACAGGGTTTCCGGAATTCCAGGAAGTGCGCACATCATGAACGAGTATATCAAGTCAATTGCAATCAATAAACAAGTATATCACGTAAGGGCAAGTGCGATAAAGTACACTCTTGCCCTATCAATTCACGTATATAACATGTACTCATATTGGTCATGTATCAAGTTCAAGTATCAAGTTCAATTCAGTATTTGAAAGCACTCACCAAAAGATATAGTGCCTTTATTGATCACTTTCAGGGTATACTCCGGGTTCGGAGTCCAAATCTGCGATAAAACTCAGTTTGAGAACTTTGAAATATGACTAAGATTCGAAACTTAGACGTTTTATTCAATCAAAATCAAGAAACTGGAATTCACTTGGAGAGTAGTCGTGAAATAGTTGCTCGCTCTTCAAACTGAAAAATTTGATAACATTTTTGCTTGAAGATGACTCTTGAGTCA